TTTCTTTCATGCTGCCCATCCTGGCTTTACTAGTGGCTGAGCAAACACGAGAGGGAGAATTAAGCTGATGCTTGTCTCTCAGCTTTCCTGTCTTTGTAACATGATCATTAGGTACAGCATCTTCCCCTTGTTGCATTGTGCTTGGCCACACGCTGATAGCCTGTGTGCCTGGTGCACATGAGCCACAGCTTGCACCAATGGGCTTTATGAATTTTCTTTAGAGCTGGAAACACCGTAGGAGCTTTGCATGTGACAGTTTTGTGCAAAGGGGAGCAGGGTAAGGGGGGTCCAGGGGGCAGTGGCTGGGACAGCTTGTCTGGTTTGGAAAAGAAATGATCCAAGTTTGCTAGACCTTTGGCTCTACATTCTGATCCCAATTTTTGTGACTTTTTCTATGCATGTTGTGGAGCACTGAGAGTGAGACATCAACAGTATTCAGTAAATAGCTATTGCCAGCAGTTATGTGTGGGATGCTGTGCCAAGTCCTGGGAAATGATAAGATAAATATGTTACAGTCCCTGCTCTCAGGGCATTTGTAATTCATCAAAAGAGAGAAATGGAAGAGGGCATAGTACTGTGGGAAAGTGGTCATCATAGAGTTTACGCACAACATACTTTGAGTGCAGAGGGGAGCTGGTGCTAATTAGAGCAAGGTTTCCCAGAGGAGGTGGCAAACTGGGCTTTCAAGGGTTGGCTTGCCTGTTAGAGAATGGAGTAATCTTGGCAGGCAGACATCATAACCAAGGCACAGAGACACACCCCAATGCGGTGTGTGAGGGAAGGGGCGGGTGGCGTGAGGTGGTTGCTTACACACAACATGATGGAGCACAAGGCCGAGAATGAAGGGCAGGCCTGTGGATGGGAGGATCTTGCTCTCACTTTGAACCACATCATGTAGAGTTTTAAAGCATTGCATGTTGTGGTTAGAAATGTCTATTTTAGGAAGATTGGTTTGAAGGATAGATTGAGAGGAGGCAAGAACTGATTGCAAGTAAGTAGTGCCAACAAGAGATGGTGAGGCCCGAGGTATGAATGGAGTGGAGTAGATGGATGTGGTGGGCATTTGGAGAGAAAATCTTTAGCACATGAACAATATGAAGAGAGAACCTTGGGGTCAACCTACCCTTAAGATATGGGCAGAAGAAATAATCTGTGAGAGACTGAGTGGTGTATTGGAAGACAAAGGAGGGGGTACATTTTCAATAAGCGTGGTGGTGCTCAGCAGTATTAGAGGGACAACTAGGACAGGGCTGATAAGAGACCACTACAGATAACAGGCTGAGGTCATTGGTGATCCTTAGGGAAACAGACAGGCAATTCTAAACACATGGGGGTTGGGGGTACTGATCCTTTATGCAGTTGAAAACTCATATATAAATTCTGACTCCCTCAGAACTTAAGTGCTAATAGCCTACCTCTGATTGGAAGCCTTACTGGTTACATAAACAGTTGATTAACACATATTTTGTATGTTATATGTAATATATACCATATTCCTACTGTAAAGTAAGCTAGAGAGAACAAAATGTTATGAGGAAAATTATAAAGAAGAAAAAATACATTACAGTATTTATTGAAAAATATTTGCCTGTAAGTGAACCCATATAGTTCAAACCTGTGTTTCCTCAAGGGTCATACGTTAGAGCCCCATAAGAGTGGAGAAGACAGGGGAATGCTTACTGTATTCAGAATATATTGCCATTTCACAAGAACGTAACTAAAAATGGCATGCATTTGTGCAAGGGAAGATTCACAAACATCTAGTGCTCTGGGTGCTTGGATTGGGGGTAGAGAGGGAAGCATAGGGTCAGTGCTAAGTTCAAGTCTCTTTGAACAATACCCCTGCCTTCTGCTTCCTAGGGTCTCAGAAAGCTCCTTCCTTGCAAATACCATTACTCTAATTGTGCCATTTTGCCTTATCACTGTCAGCATACTGTAGAACGCAGATGCTTATAAATTCTCTTCTAGTTCCAAACTGTTACTCATTTCTAGCCATGATGCTGTACTGGATGCTGTGGCATGCCACCCAGACCCCCTTTCCTCTACTGAGGCCCTCATTGTCCACCTGCAGGGGGTGTAGGCAGCTGGTGATGGTTCTCACCTGGGACTTGTCCTCAGCTGAAGTGAGCTGCTCCACCCAAGACCACAGCATCTGGGATGGTGGTGGAGGACAGCCTGCATGTCATGACAAGTCAATGGGGGTGGGATATAAAGGCTCCCATGCCTCAAGGTAGGATACTTCTGACTCACAGCTCCTGTGCTTCCCAGTTGAGCTCTTCAGTCTGCACAGTCAAGTCCTTCTCCCTTCAGTCCCCTGCTGTGCATATGCCAGTAAACTCCCTCTGTGATTTGCAGAGTCCATTTCCTGGGGAACCAACCTAGGTCACTCATTGTTTTCAGTTCGGTTGCCTACCTAAGAGGGGTCACCAGTCAAAGTCTGTAGTCCCTCTGACCTTTGCTTCTGATCCCCTTAGGCATGTCCAGTGGAAAGATCTTCTCTCTCAGTAGCTGGAACAAAAGCCTTGGCATTGAGCCTCCTTGGCCCCGAGTGATTGGGCCATATACCCATTAATGGACTATTCAAGGAGAGGAAAGTGCCTAGAAGTCAGCTGTTCAGCTCCTCCAGAGACCTACCCATTAAACCCTAGTCCTGTAGAAGGGTCCATGAGATGGGGTGACCCCTTGCTGCAGAAGCTGGTCCCCACTCTGCACCCTGTTTCTGTTTCCGCCCTCCCCTCCACTCCTCTTACACTTCCCACTCTCCTTAAGGCAGCTAGTAGTCACCATCCTGCATCGACTCTTTCATTCATATGTTCTTTTTAGTCAAGAAAAGTGAATGTTGAAAACAGAATTGAGATATTTCAAGCACATGTAGAACCTCCCTTGAAATTTGTTGCGGAAACAGCACTGAGCAAACAAACTTCTGGGAGGCACAGCTTCGAAACAAACAGCAGCTGCCACTGCTCGTGGGTTTCTTTTTCCCTTTTCCCCATTGGTTTCTAATTCGTTTTTAATAAAACCTGCTGCCTAGCAGTTGAACAACAATTTTTCTTTCCTATCTTGAGGCCTCTCAGGTGGCCTTAACTTTTGTCTTTTAGTAATGGGGGCCTTGGGGGACAGAGCCCCACGGCTCTGTTGTGATGTTTCACGGTTGCTTCTGGAACCGCATCTACACCTCCCTCCCTGACCAGGTGGGGAAGAGCTGGACCTTGTGGACGGTTAGCTCTGTTGGGATTCGAGTCTGGAGTGTGGTTTCCTGCCCTTCTGTCTTTATAATAACGGATAATGCTAATTCCCATCTTTCTCAGTGACTAAGTGCTTCAGCTGTTGGTTTTCAGGTTTTGTTTGTTTTTATTTGTTTTCCATGTGGAATCTTTGAAGGCACAGAGCTGAGGGCTGTTCTTGGGCCTGATTTACTCAAGACTGTGACGTTAAGGAACTCTGACTTGTCACATCCAACTCGTGTGTCTCCTTCCGCATGAATCGCAGCCCCGAGGCAACCCTTCTTCCTTTCTGCGCTATTAGCGGTGTGGGATTCCTTCGCTTAACAACTGGGGTGGGATGTTAATAATGGGTTGCTGACTACGTGCAAGGGCTGGTGTTGGGCCCTCACTAACTCTTCACGGGGGCTCTGCTAGGTAGACGCCGTCCCCTGTTTAACCTGCTCAGAGACTCAGTTGCCCTCCCAGGGTGTGCTCGAGGCTCCCAGCCAGTGAGGGTGGAGCTGAGGGTCAGCCCAGCCCGGTCTGGAGCCCCGGGCCTGGTTTCCCCCTCCCACCTCTCAGCCACTGTAATAATGTGTGGCAGCGCGCTCGTAATCAAGTGTTCACCAGCGGTAGTAGCTGCTCTTAGCCAGAGGTAGCAGTCTTTTATTTGTCCTTCGGAGTATATTTTTAAAAAGTAAGTTAGTTCTTAACATTTCAAAATTGGGAGATTTCATATTAAACAGAATGTTCAGTTTTTCTTGGAAAAAAAGAAAAAGAAAAACCTTTAGACCTGGAGATACTGTGTTCACAGGTTTATAGTACAACTGTTCCAGCTAAGTAAAATTCCACAGCCCCCCGCCCCACCCAAAGGAGACGAGACTTCTTCAGTTGGCCTCGGGCCTCAGCTACCCTGCTTCACTCTTCCATCACTTCCCTGGTTTCTGTGGACTTTTACGTCTGTGATTCTTGAATTAGGCTTCTCAAGAAACAATGTCTGTCTAGTTAGGAATCAGTAGAAGTCAATGTCAATTTCTGCCTCTGAGTTGAACTTTACAGCCTTTGATGTTTCTTTTCAACTTTTTGGAACAGTGATTCAGTAAGAACAGCTTCAATTATCGGACATGTGTTAAGCATTCAAATGTTTGACTGACACTGAGGGTAGGCAGATACCTGCTTGGTGGTGGGAACATGCATAATTCTCCGGTTTAGTTTGCATCCTAACACCTGCAGGTGCTGTGCAGGTGCTGCAGACACTGGAGGCCATCTGCACCAGGGTGTTTTGCAGAGGTAGCATTGCAGAGGGGGGAGATGAGTCCAGAGGAAAACACTGCAGGAGGGGCCACTGTGTTGATTTTGTGGTGACCACCAGGTAAGGTAGTCCCACAACCTGGAACACCGCTTCCTTAACTGCCAGTGTTCACACAATGAGCAGCTCAGAGATCTCAAAGAACAAGTTAGAACCTCAGAATGATGGGTCTCTCATTTTGTCTTGATGTACCTGCAAGTGTATTTCCATTTGACAGTAAGAAATGTAAGTCTTTTTTTATTGTTTCAGCGGATCACATCTTCTTTTATCTGGTTTAAACACATCTCATAGAAGTGTAAAATAGAAACAAAATGGATTTTGACTAATTTCATAGCTGCAACTGGATTAAAATTTAATAGTGTTTAATATTAACACATGAGAGCCCCCAAAGCTAAAGTTATTTGTGTATTTAAATAAGTATTTGCTTTTATTTAAGACAATGCTTGGAATGTTGTTTGAATTTTTATTGTTTGTTTATTTTCTTTCAGGACCCTGCAGGGATCTTTGAATTGGTGGAACTTGTTGGAAATGGAACATATGGACAAGTTTATAAGGTAAGTTCAGTGGGGTTTGAACATGGCTTATGTGTGGTTTGAGTTCATGAATGCTGAGTTGCAGCGCTGTCTGTTGTTGCTCATGTATGCCTCATAGCAGATTTAAAATTAAATAATGCAGTTTCGAGTTGACTCTCCATCATTTTAGATACATGTGTCATCCCGTTGCCTAAACTGGATTCTGGGATTCAGGCCTTTCCCTTCATTGTGTACTACAATGTTTGTGTCTGATACATGTCTGCATATTCGAAGTTCTTCAGGTGGTTAGTTTCCTGTACTTTAATCATTGCCAACTGCTTTCCAAAGGAGCAAAGGATGCCATTCTCTTTAGGAATTTAAGCTATTGGCACATCATCTCTGGAAAAATAGATTTGTTACTGGCCTATGGCATGAGTTAAATGAGTTTAGTGAAGAGTGTTAGGGAAAAAGCTGGTGACCTCACAAAGCAAAGGCCTAGTGTAGCAGTGGCTTTTTGCAGGATACAAAAGAACGAAAAGTTAAACTTGAGTTGAGATCGTGCTGGGGAATGAGAAGTCCTCCTTGCCCTTTTACTAATTTTTGCTTACAAACTCACCCCAAAAATGCTTTTAAAAAGGTACTTCCCCCCAGGAAATTACCTTAAAATGGTTGTTTAAAATGTGGGTTGATTCTCTTTCTGATAATCAAAAGGAAATGGAAATGAACTGTTTTTAGACTAAAACTCAGGGGGTTTTAGTGAATGAGCTATTGAAACAACTACCTTCCAAATAAACCGTTTCCTTATGATTGTTTCTAAGAGAAACATTCATCATATTCCTGAGTGCTAGTGATATGGATGTCATTTCCATTACTAATTATCCCTTGTTTTATTTTTAAAAATTCCTTCTCTGGGGCCTCAACTTCACTTAGTTGATTAAAATTATCCTAGAAGTCACCTGGATTATAATATTTACAATTGCATAGTATGTCAAAAGTATACACACACATATATGTAAACATACATGTGTGTATGTGTGTGTGTGTATATATATAGAGAGAGAGTAATCTTGTTTTTAAAGCACAGTTGTAAACAGATAAATATTTAAACCTTTATTTACTGGAGGTACCCTTTGGTCTTCATTCCAGGGGAAATTTTCTCCCTTACAAGGAACAATTATTTCTTAAAATGTCAGCCCCCTGCAATTAGAATGTAGTCTACCCAAGGTGTTCACTTGACACTGATCCTGTCTGACAGAAGAAAGAAATGTGTCTCAGCAAATGCTTTAAATACTTTCAATGGAGATAATTAGGTTCAAAGAATGTATTGTTGCATTTTGAGAAATTGGATTCAACTTGAGAGTTAAGGTGAACTAATGAATTAATCTCTGATTTAGGCAGAAAATTACTTCTGATTTGCTGTCAGTGTGGAGGAGCAACTCCATAGCATGCTGCTGGTTCATGGCACCCTTTCTTAGAGCCATTCCACTGTACTGTGCTTCTTCCCACCTGTCGAATGCAGTTCATAACCCACAGCTTTGTCTGCTAATCTAAGGGGTGGACTGGACAGTTTTGCAAGAAAAGATAACAAAGAGATTCACTCAAGGGTGAGAAGGTGGGGAAAATTCAGAATCATCCCTAACATCTTGTACCTGAAAACAAAGAGGAAACAAAATGGCAAGAGGCTTCAGGTCTTTTTAGAGAAGAAAGGTTTTTACCAACCGCGTTGTTAACATTATTGTTCTGAAGGGTGCCATTCTCTAAGTGGTTGATACAAAACTTTGGCACCTCTCAGGCTGAAGGGAGACTGCAAAGAATGGTTGTGGGGTTTGGGACCGGAGACTTGGTCCCTTTCACCAGCCCCAGGTGGTGTTTTGTGGCATCGCAGCGTTTCTGTGCGTTCGTCAAGTGCGAACGTAGTTAGAAATACTTTGGGGACTTATCTAAAGAATTAAAACTCCCTACCCAGTTACAAGTTCAGTTTTTAGGCGACGCAGGTGATATGAGGTGGCACTGGGTTTCTTGAGCCACTAATCCAGTTCTGCTGTTACCTTGAGTTCTAAAGCAGGGGTGTCAAACTCATTTTCACTGGGGGCCACATCAGCCTCGCGGTTGCCTTCAAAGGACTGAATGTAAGTTTAGGACTGTATAAATGTAACTACTCCTTAACTAGGGTCAAGGAGCTCAGCACTGCTGACAGGTAGAAACAAGGTGCCGGGCCCTATAAAACAAGGTGGAGGGCGGGATTTGGTCCTTGGGCCTTGGGTTTGCCGCCTGTGTTCTAAAGGATTAAAGGTCAATACAAATAGCAGAAATTGAACTCAAATGCGAACCTGAAGAAAAACAACTTAGGAAGTAATTGTTCACATTATAGGTTATATTTAACATTTATGGAATAGGTATTTCTAAAATACTGCTGACTAGTATTTAAGAAACTACTACCAGTTTTTAAGAAACATACATAATATAATAAATACAAAGTATATGTAGATACTAAGATAATATTTCCTGAAGTCTATCTACATATAAGCCACATACCTCTAGATATGGAAATATAAATATTTTATATAAGTGTCACTTAGTAACAATGTTTAGCTTTTCCAAGTTGCTTCTGGTCTTGCTCCCAAGTCTAGCCTGGTCTGTCTGTTCTTAGAAGGCTAGATTTATTTATCTTTAGCATTTTGGTCCCAGGCGATCAAGTGGCAGTTCTGTTTTTTACTTTCTTTACAGAATAGAGTGCCTAAATAATAAAGAGTAGTGCTTCTACGTCAGGGGTTTCAATAAGGAAGCCATCTTCTTGGGCCCATGGCCCCCATTAAAAAACAAAACAACAGAAGGCCACATACCTGTTTGCCTATGGTGTGGGCTGTTTGTTGGGACGCCACCTATTGGGACCTAACAGAATCCAGACATGTTTTCATGAAAATAGAGTAATTATTTTAAGAATTTGAAATAGTTGTCAAGTGTTTACTGCTAAAACACCACTAAATCATAGCTATAGATTTCAAAAATGAATGTTAGTATATCCCATTTCTTAATTTGCCCTTTTGAAATACATTTTGGGCCCTGGCTGATGTGGCTCACTGGATTGAGTGTCTGCCTACAAACCAAAGGGTTGCTGGTTCAATTCCTAGTCAGGGCACATGCCTGGGTTGTGGGCCATGTCCCCAGTAGAGGGTGCACAAGAGGCAACCACACATCGATGTTTCTCCCCCTCTCTTTCTCCCTCCCTTTCCTTCTCTTTAAAAATAAATAAAAAAATCTTTAAAAAATGAAGTATATATTGGTTGTCACAGAGTTGGAGATGTATTTTAGTCCCAGGTGGTATTGTGAAATGGGAACCCAGCAGATTCCTCAGTATTGCTCAGGTTTGTCGTGAAACTTCCTTAAGGTTGTAAAAGATGAAGTAAAGAGGTCGCCTTGGTGGTTATAGTGCTTGTGAGAGAGAGCGCGCTGTTAGCGCGCGCGCGCGTGCGTGCGTGCGTGTGTGTGTGTGTGTGTGTCCAAAGGGCTGCAAAGGTCCTTATAGGTCATCTAATCCAATCATTTTGGCACCAGCTGCCTATTCAACCCATTCTCTTTTTTTAAAGATTTTATTTACTTTTTGGAGAGAGGGGAAAGGAGGGAGAAAAAGAGGGTGAGAAACATTGTTGTGTGAGAGAGTCATTGATTAGCTGCCTCTCACACAACCTTAACCAGGGACCTGGCCCTCAAAGCAGTCATGTGCCCAAATCTGACTGGGAATCAAACCACACCAGCCAGGGCTATTCAACCCATTCTTGATCTCCTCCAGTCACATGGCACTTACTACCTGCCAGTTGGTCCATTTTCCTACAACTCTCTTTGAATGTTCATTACCACATTGAGCCAAGATTTTGGCTTCCTAAAATATTTACCATACCATCAGAGCTATTTAAAAAAGAGAAATTACATCTTCTTCTATGAGAACAGAGCCCTTCCAATATTTGAAGAAGACTTCTCCCTACTTCCCCCAAACACATACTTGTGTCTCCTGCTCTCCAGACAACATGACCTCAATTGCTTAATTAATTCTTCATATTCCACAGACCTCAGGCCCCTCATTATCCTCAGATGAGGATAGTTTCAGGACATAAACCAGGATAAATGTATAGGATCCAACACAAATAGTGCCCCTTTTATTATAAAATCTTTTGTTACAAAACCATAAGCATGTAATTCTGTAACATAACAGTAGCACACTCAAGCACACCATATGACATTTTAGGTGAAATGTTCAAATTAAAACTAAATTGTGATGCCCATATTGTTACCCTGCCAGCCACGGTCGAGCAGGTCTTCCTTCTGCCGGAACCTGCACTAAAAGTAATGCTTTATACTTTTACGTAGTCTTCCACTTTATAAAACTTTTTATGTGTATTATCTGATTTTTAATTTAATTCCTATAATAAGTTCATGAGAACCTTGTTCTTACCTTAGGAGTCTTTACAGTTACCACCTCCCTGCATGCAACCCTTGCTCTGTCCCCTCCTGTGACGGGGCACTTCCCCTTTGGGTCTCAGCCGAAATGTTGCCTCCTCAAACAGGCCACTTTTCATCCTTGTATCTAATGTAGCCAGCCACCCCTTCTGCCTCCCTCCCCCTCAAACTTTATCACCTCAGCCTGTTTCATTGTCTTCATTATCTTAATTCTTTGTTTATGTGTGCATATAAACAATTTAAAAGCACAAATAAAAGAAAAATAGCCCTGGCTGGCATAGCTCAGTGGATTGAGGGCGGGCTGCGAACCAAAGCATCGCAGGTTCGATTCCCAGTCAGGGCACATGCCTGGGTTGCAGGCCATGGCTCCCAGCAACCACACATTGATGTTTCTCTCTCTCTCTCTCCCTTCCCTCTCTAAAAATAAATAAATAAAATCTATTTAAAAAAAAGAAAAATAAGGGCAGGGACCTACTGTCTAGCCATCACTGTATCCACAGTCTGATTGTAGTAGGTGTTAGCCATCGTTGGTCCCAGAATTGATCTCTGTTTTCCTTGATAATTCTTTTTATATTAATTCCCGGCTT